CCCTGTAATTTTTCTAGTTAATTAGTCAGAAGAAATATTTTCAGCTCAGTCAAATGGAATTCATTATTTAATGTGATGAATCTAAATCAGGAACTTTAAAAAAGTGCCTTCTTGACTTTTTAATACGAAACCTTAACTTATTTATCACAATCACTGTGTGTGATGACTGAAATGTTAGCTGTGAAAAAAGTCATGCAGTAATGTAGGACTCTTGGATGATTATTTCAAGAGCACACTTCTGTTTATAAGTTTATACCCTGTATTTTATATTGCAGCAGAATAAAGAATAAAGAGTAAAAAGAAGTCTGTGCAGAACTCTTGCTTGTTTATTCCTTTCTGTATGGCGCATCGGAGGCGATAGAGTTGAACTTATTGGTTGAAAGTGTATAATTGCTCTAGATATTTTCACTTGCAAACCTCTGAATTTGTCAGACGGAAAGGTTTTTCTCTCTGTACTTGTAACACTTCAAACCTTCGGAGGTTCAGTTTGTTTAGAGGAAAACAGAAAGAAACAGTAGGTGCTGTTTACTTCAGACCTAATGAGCACTTTGCACAAAGCGCTTGACTTCCGTGTAATCAACCAAACAAGATTAGTGGAGAAAGTGGAAGTGTGTCCCCAGAGGGCAAGTTCTTTCCTCCCTTTGAATTAGATCAAAGGAAACTTCAGAGGTGCACTTAGAACGAAATGCCAGTGAATGTCCTTAAAATCTGAACATGGGGGTGTTTTCATGCCACTGAGCAAGACATCCTAGATGTCAAATCAGGGGATATAATGAACTATGATTACACTTGGACACAGCAGTTTGTTTGGATGACTAATTTCGGTGCTGTTCTGAGGATTTTGAACCTTTGGTGGATGTGAACATGTGTAGAAGTAATTTTGTGAGAGACATTACTGCTTGTTTATTCTAATTAGTGCACTTTTATTTTTGAATAATGCTGTTATGATGGTAGTCATTAGTATCACCCACAAACACCTGCTTACTTTTTAAACCATGCTTTAAACATATATACCTGTATATGTCTATATAAATATATATACTGATTTTACTCATTTACATTTCTTCGTTACTGTTTTGTAATGAAGGCCCTTGCCATACACGCTCAAATAATTGGATCTCATTGCAGGTACTGAATGTTTTAGTAAGCTTAAAAAAATGGAGCAACCTGCAGAACAATCTGATGCTGGATTCATTTTTATCATTGGGCAGTTAGGTTTATTAATTTGTTTTTAAATTCTCTAATTGGTGGTTTTAGTATTTTACAAATGTAGCTTTTTCATATTTTTAGCATTATTGCTATCCAAGTTTCTTATTTATATGATTACATAGCTTTTTTAGGGGGGTTTCTACATCTCAATTTATCCATCCATCCAATATCTATACACCGCTTAATCCTCACTAAGGTTGTGGGGGGCTGGAGCCTATCCCAGCTGACTTCGGGCAAAGGCAAGGGAAACCCTGGACAGGTCACCAGTCTATCACAGGGCTACACTTAGAGACAGACAACCAAGCACACTCACATTCACACACAATTTAAAATCATCAATTAACCTCAACATGTTTTTGAACTGTATGGGAGGAAGCCGGAGAACCCGGAGAGAACCTACGCTGCATGGGGAGAACATGGAAACTCCACGCAGAAAGATCTAGGGTGTCCCCACCGGGATGCAAACCAGCGACCTTCTTGCTGCGAGGCAACGATTCTAACCACCGCTCCACCTTGCAGCCAACCTCAATTTATTCACAATCTAAATAAAGTTTTAGTGAATTAATGAAATAATATATGACTGTATCTACATACAGCACATATATGTTGATCTGTTGCTATATATAGGATTGACAGGTCCACATTTTTTTTCTTACTTTATATAATTGTAAAGTGATCATTGTATAGGTTGCTTCAATATATGCAACCAATCACCTGATTGTGGGGACTGTATAATGACAAATTTATTTCCAAAAACAACAAACAAACAACAAAAGACAAAGTGATACAGCAAAACTACAACTTTGCTCCATCTAGCTGAATAGTGTGGATGCATTTGCTCTGTGCACAGAAGCTTCTGGTATCATCCATGTTCCATGATCTATTTTGAACAGATTGTGACAACTGTTTGAATGGGGAATTAACGAAATAATGACAATTTATGAACCACTCAGCCTGGACGTAACTATGAGAATCCACCAAGCTCTTGTGAAGCACTAGTCTGCTGTAGTACAGTCGACTGGCCACAGTCACCACTATGCTGTCAGTGCTACTATAAAGGAACATTTTAATTATGCTGCGATGGAGAGCTGGTGTACCTGAACTCAGCTAGACACCACGGAAATGGCCTAGTTAAAGGTTCCCTGTAGAGTTTTCTTGTAAATAAACGCTTACAGTCACTGTTAGTCACCAAAATGCACTGCGTGTGTCCTTGAGGTCCAACAAACAGGCTTTTCCTTGTGAAATACTCAGAATGGCTGCCTTCTTCTTCTTCTTCTTTTTTTTTTTACATCTGTGTTTAGTTTCTACTAGCAGTTCTTTGGGCCTTAAATTTTATGGAGCATACCCCTCATGCTGACAGGATTGGTTCTTCAGGTTTGTTATCCTTGAAACCCCGGAAGTGAGTCCATGCTTTTGGAATCATCAGTGCACTGCAATTTCAAGGAGGAACTATTTAGAATTTTAACTCATGATGTGTCCTTCAGCAAAAAAAAATCAGTAGGGGTTGGAGGTGGATGGTAGATATTTATACCGTGAAATTTAATGAAGTAACTTTTTTTTTTTTTTTTTTTTAAATAAACGTGCACTTCCGGTCAGATGACGTCAGTGCAGCTCCGCCTCTGTTTACTCTCCACGGTGAACTGTTAACTGAAGCTGCAGCGGGAGATTCAGATGAGAGGAAAAGAAGCGTCTGAAGACTGACTTTTTATTTTGCTTTCTGTCGGAGCTGATGTATCAGGAGACGACAGCTGGTGTGAGGTCAGTACACCAGAGAACTGCAGCGAATGCATCTATTGTGTAAAACTCATATAATGGTCCTTCAAAACTACTCGCTCTGCTGCTGTCTGAGCAGTATTAACTGTAACACAACATAACGGTGTGTGTCTTTGCCATTGTATTTACTAATCATGTAGACTGATTAATAGAAACAGAGAAATCGTGCTAATTATGCACATAGATACAAAGACCTCCCCTGTATTTATAGGACAATTCATCATATAACATCACATCATTATTTCCTAATGTGTCTAAATGATTCCACTGATTAGACATTACCAGTAATGTCAGATTTTGCCCACTTCTGTCATCCTATTGTCTTCATTTGATTAAAAAAGATAAAAACAAAACTTGAAGGTAGGCTCACATCTAATTTCTGTGACATTCATTCTAGAATTATCAAAGTGTGAAGAGAGTGTAAAGCTTTGTCATTATTTTATGACACAACAGATCTGCTCCTTGCATCTCTAATTTGCTGCTACAAGCAAAGAATCTAATTTTAAAAAGGCCTTAACTTACAGGTGAAATCACATAGTGTATATTTACTCATTGAAGCTCTGTGGGAGGTAACATTTAATCATCCATCCATCTATACACCGCTTTATCCTCACTAGGGTCACGGGGGGGCTGGAGTCTATCCCAGTCGACTTCGGGTGAAGGCAGGGGACACCCTGGACAGGTCACCAGTCTATCACAGGGCTACACTTACAGACAGACAACCAAGCACACTCACATTCACACCTACAGACAATTTTAGAATCACCAATTAACCTCAACATGTTTTTGGACTGTGTGGGAGGAAGCCGGAGAACCCGGAGAGAACCCACGCTGCACGGGGAGAACATGCAAACTCCATGCAGAAAGAT